GAGAGAGAGAGAGAGAGAGAGAGAGAGAAACATCGATGTGAGAGAGATCCAGCAATCAGTTGCCCCCCATACTCGCCTGACTGGGGATGAAACTAGCATCCTAGGTATGTACCCTGACTGGGAATAGAACTGGTCACTTTCCTGTGCATGAGATGACACTCCAACTGAGCCACACTGGCCAGGATGCCATACATATTTTTGACAGCAACAGCTGGAATAGCATGACAGCCAAGATAAATATCAAACTGGTAATAGTATCGAATATAAGCAATCATCTATCACAAGACCACCAGGGGGTATGGCCCCTGGCGCTACTGCATTTTTTGTCTCTTTGACTTGTCAATTATTAGTACCCACGTTATACTATTAAAAAAGTACTGTAGCCCAGCTGGCATGGCTCAGTGGTTGATCATTGACCTATGATCCAGGAGATCGCGGTTTGATTTCAGGTCAGGGCACATGCCCGAGCTGCAGGATCAATCCCCAGCTGAGGGTGTGCAGGAGCAGCTGATCAACAACTCTCTCTCATCACTGGTATCTCTCTCTCTCTTCCTCTCCCTTCGTCTCTCTGAAATCAATAAAAAAATATATTTTTTTTAAAAAGTATTGTAACAGGAGTCTGGTAGCAGAAAATAATTTGTGTAAAACTGCTGGGCCATCTCTCCACTCTGGCCCAGTCTTTCTGTAAGTAAATTACCCTCTAATAAATTCTGTTATATTTCATGGAATTGCCTGCTTCATCTTTCAGTCTGAAAATATCTTTTCATTATGGTGGACATTACACCTCTGCTCCATCATTGGACAATAATATATTAGGTACTGACTATTACAAAATACTAGATGAAAATGCATAATACAGTATTATTTATACATCAGAGTCATAACAATAAACATCAGAAGTATATGAAAAGACTGGAAAGAAATATAATAAAATGGTAAAAGTGGCTGTATCAGGCTAGTGGAATTTAGGTACATAATCTTCTTCCTATCTTCCAAACTTTGTAAGGTGGTTTTATTAATTTTAAAACTACGAACATCAATTTAAAAAATAAAAAACAAAATAATAGGGGTTGTATCAAATAGCTTTTATACTATAATATACTGCTATGTTTAAGAGGATTGAATACCTCAGAATATAAGCATATTTAAACATATACTATGATTAATATAACTGCATATAACATGAAAATACTTTCCATTTTCATCACTATAACAAAAAAATTCAACAAAAAATTCAACAAAAATTTAACAAAAAGAGTTAGATAAAGTGACAAGTAAATGACAAGACTCATTCATTAATTCAATAAAAAGTACTGCAAACATACTATACATTGAGCAGTATTCTAGATGCTACCAGGAATATAGATAATTTTAGTACAAAGTATATATGTTTAAGGACTCCTCACCTAGTTGGGAAAGGTAAAAAACACATTTTCAAAGTTAAAAATTAACACGAGTTAATGTAAGAATGGTATTTGGGAACAGGACAGTGCAAAAAGATACAAAAAAATAAATGAGGTATAAGTAGAATAAAAGAAGCTAATTTCTATATATTCAGATGAAAGAGAAACCAAGAGATTCACCTGACAAACCAATGACACTAATACGGAAATTCACAAGACTTAAATTAAGATCAAAAAGCAAAAATCAATTGTGCTCCTTGATATCAGCAATGACCACCTAAAAAATTACCATTCATAACAGCAACAAAAAGTATAAAAAAATCTAGGCATTAACCTATAAAGACTGGGTAAAGCCGAAATGGATATATTTTAAAAATTTTATTAAAAGACAGAAAATCTGCCCTGGCCGGTGTGGCTCAGTTGGTTGAGAGTCATCCCATGCACCAAAAGGTCACCAGTCAGGGCACATGATCAGGTTGTGGGCTAGATCCCTGGTCTGGGTGCGTGGGGGAGGCAGCCAATTGATGTTTTTCTCTCACATCTATGTTTCTGTTTCTCTCTCTCTCTCTCTGTCTAAAAAAAAGAAAAGAAAAAGAAAACCTGACTAAATATATTTTAGGGATAGAATGACTTAACAATATAAAAACATTAATTCTCAAATTAATATGTAAATTCAGTGCAACTCTTCTCAAAACCCAGCAGAATTTGACGGAGGGACAAACTGACTCTAAAATGATATTTAAATACAAATTTTAAAATGAAGAAAATGAGAAATTCATCAACCAGATATTAATACATATTACAAAGCCATAATAAAAATTGACCAATGCCATAGAAAAAAGAGGCCAGAAACAGACCAATACGTATGGGATGAGGTATATGACAGAGATGGTATTACAAGTCAGAAGGAAAGGGATAGGTTACATAGCAGGTGGTGCTGAAAAATCCACTTCACTAGCAAAAATAAAGCTGGATTTTTCCACAATTAAATAAATAACTCACATGGATTAAGTCTTTTATGTAAACGGTAAGATTATAAAGCTAATAGAAGAATGTCTTTGTGACCTGTGGTAAAGAAGGATTTCTTTTAGAAAGACCCCAAACCCACCAACCATATGTGAAAAACTAACTGGTTTGACTACACCAAAATTAAAGATTACTGTTCAACAAAGGACCACAGACAAAGTTCAGAGAGAGATGACAGACTAAAAGAAAGACTTCCTAGTATCTAAAATGGGTGGGGAATGTCCAGCTTGCTTTATCCAGCCAAAACACCAAGAAAGGAATAGTCTAACAAGACAGGAAACTTGTAGACAATAACCACTCAATTCCAGCCATGCACCCCAGAAAAAAATATAGCTCCACTTTCACCAATGTGATCAAAGGTCCAGGTCCAGCCATGGCTGGTGTGGCTCCATGGTTAGAGCACTGGCCTTTGCACTGAAGGGTCGCTCGAATCAAAGGTTTAATTCCCAGTCAAGGGCATGTACCTGGGTTGTAGGTTTGCTCCCCACCCCTGGTCAGGGTGCATGTGGGAGGCAACTAGTCAATGTGTCTCTCTCACACTGATGTTTCTGTTTCTCTCTCTCTCTCTTCTCTCTGTGTCTCTCTCTCCCCCTCCCTCCCTCCACTCTGTGAAAAAGTAACAGAAAAAAAAATATCCTCAGGTGAGGATTAACAAAAGCCCAGGTAGAGTAGGAAGCCAGGGCTTTTATCTTCACCAGAGGTAACAGCTCCCTCTTCTACCAGTGTCAGTGAGGACCCCTTGGAGAGCCTGTACCTCCGCCTGTTCCCCTCCCCCACCTAGCAATATAGTCATGTGCTCCTTGATGATGCAGATATGTTCTGAAAAATTCGGTGTTAGGTGATTTCATCCTTGTGCGAACATCAGAGACTGTATTTTCACAAACTTAGATGGCAGCCTAGCAACACTTAGGTTATACGGTGTATCTTACTGCTCCTAGGCTACAAGCCTGCACAGTACGGAATTATACAAGACAACACAAGATTAAATCAAGCACAAGAGAAAATGATGCACTCAAGAGATGCAGTCAACACGAGATGTATGAGGCTGTTGCCAAAGTAGGACAGCATACTGCTTTACAACAAACTTTTTTTTAATAAGTACAAAGAATACACTCTAAAATACTGATTAAAAGTTTAGTATATCTTTTTCGTGGCGCCTCGGAGACGGTCGGCTGCTTCAAGATGAAGCTGAACATCTCTTTCCCAGCCACTGGCTGCCAGAAACTCATTGAAGTGGACGATGAACGCAAACTTCGTACCTTTTATGAGAAGCGTATGGCCACGGAAGTTGCTGACGCTCTGGGTAAAGAATGGAAGGGTTATGTGGTTCAAATCAGTGGTGGGGACGACAAATAAGGTTTTCCCTTGAAGCAGGGTGTCTTGACCCATGTTCGTGTCCGCCTGCTGCTGAGTAAGGGGCATTCCTGTTATAGACTAAGGAGGAATGGAGAGAGAAAGCACAAATCTGTTCGGGGTTGCATTGTGGATGCCAATCTCAGTGTTCTCAACTTAGTCATTGTAAAAAAAGGGGAGAAAGATATTCCTGGTCTCACTGATACTACTGTGCCTCGTCGCCTGGGGCCCAAAAGAGCTAGCAGAATCCGCAAACTTTTCAGTCTCTCTAAAGACAACGATGTCCGCCAATATGTTGTGAGAAAGCCCCTAAACAAAGAAGGTAAGAAACCAAAAACTAAAGCACTCAAGATTCAGTGTTTTGTTACTCCACCTGTCCTGCAACACAAATGTCGGCGAATTGCTCTGAAGAAACAGCGGACTAAGAAAAATAAGGGAGAGGCTGCAGAATATGCTACACTTTTGGCAAAGAGAATGAAGGAGGCCAAAGAAAAAAGCCAGGAACAGATTGCCAAGAGACGTACGCTGTCCCCTCTGAGGGCTTCTACCTCTAAGTCTGAGTCCAATCAAAAATGAGATTTTGTAAGAGTAACAAATAAATGAGGACAAACATTAAAAAAATAAAAAATTTAGTATAGTAAATACATAAACCAGTGACAGAGTTGTTTGTATCATTATAAAGTAATATGTACTCTACATAATTATATGTGCTATACATTTATTTTTTAATCCTCACCCAAGGATATTTTTTCCATTGCTTTTTCAGAGTGCAAGGGGGATAGAGAGAGAGAGACAGACAGAGAGAGGGAGGGAAGGAAGGAGGGAAACATCGATGTGAGACACACTGATTGGTCTTCTCCTGCACCCACCCCGACCGGGGACGAGAGAACCTGCAACCCAGGTATGTGCCCTTGACCAGAATCGAACTCGACACCCTTTTGTCTGAAGGCCCGCGCTCTAACCACTAAGCCAAACTGGCTAGGGCTGTGGTGTACTTTTATATGACTGGCAACACAGTAGATCTGTTTACACTAGCATCACCACAAACACATGAGGAATATGTTGCATCCATCACTGAACCAGGGCATCATTATGTGGTGCCCCTAACCTGCTAGGGTGGTATCAGTGGAGGCCTGTTGGGAACCTAGACTTCTACCCTCACCTGCATTAACAAGATGGAGTGTATCAAAAGAAACCAGCTTAAACAGAAGGCTTAAATACGATCCAGAAGAGCGGAGTAGTGCAGAAGCACGCTGGACCCATGAGTAAGATCCAGTCTCATGATGTAATAACCAAAATATCCAAGTTTTAACTGAAAATTACTTGTCAACCAGGAAGATCTCAAACTGAATTTAAAAAAGTCAATCAATAAATACCAAAAGAGAGAGAGCTGTTAGAATTACCTAAGTTTTAAAGGAACCATTGTAAAATTGCCTCAGTGAACAACTAAGAACATGCTTGAAACAAATGAAAAAACAGAAAGTCTCAGTAAGGAAATAGAAGATATAAAGAAAAACCAAATGGAAATTTTACAACTTAAAAATACAATATCCAAAATGAAAGCTCAATAGATAGGATCAACAGTGAAATGGAGGGGACAGAGGACATAATTAGTGAACAGGGAAGATAGAAGATTAGAAATTACTCAATCTGAACAACAGAGAGAAAAAGAGACGGGGGGGGGAAGAACAGAGTCTCAGGGACCTGTGGGACTAAAATAAAATATCTAACATTCATATCACTGGAGTCTCAGTGAGGAGAAACAGGGCAGGGCTGAAAAAGTACTAAAAAAAAAAAAAAATACAGCTAAAAACTTCCCAAATTTGGCAGAAGACATAAGCCTAAATATTCAAGAAGCTAAGAAAACCCCAAACAAGACAAACCCAAAGAAATCCATGCCAAGACACATCATAGTCACATTTCTGAAAAGTAATCAAGTTAGATCTCGGTTAACTCCTAACTATCCTTCGGCACTGTTTAAATTAGGCTCTCCAAATATGCTATCCCATTGCACACTGGTATTCTTCTTATAAGACTCATCACATTTACAATTACTTGTTCAATGTCATCTTCCCTATTAAACCATAAATTCCATGAGGGGAGGGATTTGGTCATTGTTACATCTGTAGCATTTAAGGAAGTGTTTAGCAAACAAAAGTTGCTTAATTAATATTTGTTGAACAACAAATGAATAAATAATTCTTCTTCCAAAAAAGTCCCCTCTTAACTACCAACCTATTTTGTCTTTGTCTCAAAACTGTTCCAGGGACTCACCTCTTGATCAGTTGTGACTGCTTCCAGGTTGGCCTGCCCTTTCTTACCTTATTAGTTTGTAGAATTCTTGCATGAAATGCAGCTGGCCAGGCATGAAGCAACAGGTAAGCATAGGAGCGAATGGCATAAACTGGGGAATATTCCCAAGTCTGAAATCCCTTCCCATAGATGAGGTAGTGTGTCTGAAAGTACAAAACAGATGAATTCAGGGTTATAGTGGCCACAAGTCCTTATTAAAAGGATGAAGATGAAGTTTTTAAGCAAAAATATTAATGAGACGATGGTACACAAAATGCTGAAACTCTCAACAAGATTTGCAACTAATGGGTAAGAATCAAAACGGCCAAGTATTAAAAAAATATTAGGTCATTATAAATTCTACAAGATTATTGTTTGGTCAACATTAAAACCCTGAATTTTACCTTCTAGTTATTTTTCCTTAAACCACCTACACTAATCACTTTTTTTTAATGAAAAATGTGATTTGAAAATTTCACCTCTAAATTTTCTATAATAGGATGTCAACAGGCTTATAAATCTAAAAATCAAGAAACAGCAGTATAAGCATTCTATTTAGTACGATATTTACCTTAATAAACATCAGAAGAAATAAGAAAGTTGAAAAAAAGTGGCTGCCTCTGGGGACTGGGATTTGAACATAAGGAGTGGAACAGGGAGCTACTGCTTTTCCTTAAAGTTTTGTAGTAGAGGTTAATTTTAAAAACAATCTTAAAGTATTATTTTGATTTTAAAAAAAATTTAAGGAAATTACACCTTCTCATAAAACAGCCAAGTTCCCTATAGCCTTCAACAGTAACTACTACTAAATCATCAGCTTAGAATACAAAAGTGAAAATAAAGTTATTTTACTAGTAGTCACACTTGTAGGTAGTATTTGTATCTTGATTGGTAACAAGATCCCAAGCAGTGAAATCAACAACAACAAAAATACCCAAAGAAGTCACCTACAGGTTCCCAGTAGTTGAATGTTTCATCACAGTCGGAGATGTTGCTCAGGAGAGCAGCACATAACCTCGCTGAGAGCAAACACTTGAAAGCAGTAGATCCTTCAGGTGCCCAAACTTGTCCTGCTTTGTTCCCAGACAACCTGCTCAGAAGCAAAAAAAAAAAAAGTACGTGTCAGGGGGGCCCTGCTAACTAGAAGGACTAAAAACTAGACAAAAAAAGACAAGAGTGGCAAGGGACATCAAAGCACTGAAGCGTTCACCTGTAAAGGGGAGCGCCTAGCTGTTCTGAGCGGACCAACCGCAATCATTCCCTCCGCTTCCCGGTTTTCAGGTGAAAGCTAATTCACACACTTTAGTTCGTGGCACCTATGACGCTCCATTCAAGTAATCACTCGCTTGAAGACCACAAAGCTCTCACCCCGTTTCTTCCTTCTCTTAGCAAGGCCGTGGCTTTCCACGGCTTCATTCCCTGGCTCACGCTCCCCAGGGAGAGGCCCGACCGGCGCCGGGAGCCGTCACCTCAATTCCGGCCGCGGGCCGCTCCTCCCACGCAGTCCCCACCCGCAGTCCCGGCCTCGGGGAGAGGCGGCAGCTGGAGCGGGAGGTTGGGGGCCCTCGCGTCAGAGTGAAGGGTGGGACTTTGGGAGAACGAAGGCGGCGGTGAGAGCGGGGAAAGGTGCACCGCTCCCGCCAACTCCCACACCGGGGCGCCAGCCCGCTCGGGGCCTGGCCGGGAGCCTCCCGGACCCGCGCCCCGGGGTTCTTTACAGCACACACGGCGCCCGAAGAGGGGGGTCTAGGGCGGGGGGCAGGCGGGACGCTGCCCGCCCAGGCAGAGCGGGAGGCCCCGCGCAGAGGCAGCCGGGCCTCCC